TAAGTTGTAGTCCATACCAAAAACATTCTTCAAAAGGTCAGAGCCGATAAAGCTGAGCACAGAGCCTCACAACACAAAGCTACACAGACTCCAAAGCCCAACTCTATGTTGTAATCACAACCCAATCCCCAGTAGCCTCAAGCTGGGATCAAGCTCTGGATACAGCCCTCGTTTAGAGTAGGTTCCCAGCTGGCACGAAGTCACTTCTGTAGACTCCACTTTGTTGTCTAAGATGACTGGGGCTGGAGAAAGAGAATGTAGAAATACAGTACTTTTAAACTGCCAAGAAAACACACAGCCCACAGCAAATACCCTGAAGTGGGCAATGCTGCCATGCTGAGACAGGGCTTCCCTGTAGCTTTGGTCCCTGTCCTGGAACTTACTCTATACACCAGGCTGGCTTTGAACCTGCCTCTGCTTCTCCAGTGCTGGAATTAAAGGGGTGCACCACCACCACCAGGCTCCTATGCCATGCCTTCTAATACTCACTGTGCAAGAGCATGAGCTCAGCTACATCTGCCTTCCTTTAACCTCAACCTCAACTGAGTGCTCTCTGGTCTGAAAAAGACAGCACCTTAGCACCCGCTAGCCGTGTGATATCAAGGTAGCAGGAGTTTACACAAATGGCCTCGACGGCCTCCTAGTTGTAGCCTTTGCTCAGGTCAAGTGCCTAGCTACAGATTTTTAGTTTTAGTGTCCTCTTTTTTTGGGGAGGGAGTGGGGAGATTGAGACAGGATTTCTCTGTAAAGTCCTGGCTGTCCTGGAACTCACTCTATAGACCAGGCTGGCATCAGACTCAAGAGATCTGCCTGCTTCTGACTCCTGAGTACTGGGATTAAAGACATAAGCCACCATTGTCCAGCCTAATTACAGCTTTAATCTTTTAGTATATAAACCATCTCGGACTATAGTGGTATCTTGTTTCGCCAGTAGACTAGCAGTGGTGGCTGCATCCTGGGAGGTGTGGCTTCAGACCCTTTATGAGGAACAAGAGGGGTTGGCTTGCTCTCGTGGGCGGTAGTTGGAACTCCTACTGCATCTTCAGGAGCAGGAAGAGTATGGCGGTTATTTACTATTAATTGCGTAAATGCTTCCCTAATAAATACCTGTTAATCACATATCTTGGGTCATGTGGACTCATTTAAACCCCGCCTTCATGGGACAATGCTGACTCCCTAAGGAAGGGCAGCAATTTGGATTATGGCACAATATTGAAGTAACACAAAGTGCTCAATAACTGTCAGTGTTTGATGTTGTGACCCTTGATATCAACACATATGCTCTTTTTGAAGAGCTCAATGACAGCAGCAGCTCAAAGCACATGCTACCTTACTCAGTGGACACTGGCTTTTTACAACACAGAGGTCCTGGTAAATGGTTTTACACACCACTTACATTCTCTTTGTGTGAACAGGGATTACTAAGAAACAGGTGACAGTTTCCAAAGGTTAAAAAACAGAATAAAAGCTGAAGAAAAACTACTGTCACCGCACCTCAAGTTCTGCTACTGCTGGGAGCAATGTAGGTGGTATGTTCGCTTTGAAAACTGTCAGTGTCAACCTGTGGGGAGCACATGTACAGCTCCAAACTTGTGAGCATATACAACTAACAACACAGCCTCCTGTTCAAATACTGCTGTGTGTGTGAGCTTAGCCTCTCAGCCCCAAACTGAAAAGCATCCCAACTTCCACCATCAACATGGGCAAATTAAGAATAACTAGGGCATTCACCATTCAAAAACATCAGTGACATGGGGAGGGGACAGTACTACTGGAACACCAGATGTCCACACATGTAACATTCAAGCAAAAGCCACCTATAAACATTATACGCCCACCGATATCCGGAACACGTAAAGCAGGCACTGCTAGGACGGTGGTAGGGAAGGGAAGGGCCGCTCTGGTACTGCTCTAGACTGCAGATCTTTGGACACTAGTTCCCAGTCTAGTCAGCGATGGCACAAAGCTAGACTGGTAGTTTTGCTTGTCTATTGCTCTCATTATGTACAAAGAGCTCGAGGAACTGGCTATGAGTCAAGCGCACCCACAGATGCTCTTTATTATGTGGCATAGACACTTTATTCCACCATGTCACTGCTAGGAAATGCTCATTTTGAGTGAAGCTCCAAATGCTATTTATTATGGTTTCTTGGCACAAGAAGGATTTTCCAATACAAATGTTTAATGCACATTATATCTTCGAGTCACAAGACAACAAAATGCTGGGGGCATATGAGAAACTTTACTGACCATGTTAAAATACTGCCATACCTTATAGAAATGCCAACAGCTTATCTCATTCTGCATCTCCATGGAAAAGGAAACAAAGAGGATGGTTTCCTTGGATCTCAGGGACCCTAAGAAACCTTGCTAAGCCTTGGGCTAACATGCACCTGCAGGTGCCCTTTACTAGCTCTCAGTCACAGTGGGTGCACAGGTCAGTTATGGGTGTTGCAGTTATTACTCTGCTCAAAGGGTAGTCAAGAGGCTAGATTTGGGAAACATTTCTTGGTGGCGAAGGCCTACCTGCTTCTTAGTAAAGCTTTGGGTGTAATAAAAATGAAGCTAACCTCAACAAGAGAACTCATTTAATTATTGTGGCACACCACTCATGGAAAACCCAAGCAATAAGCTGTATAATAAAGTACACACTACAAATGTTCTATGTAGGCCATACTACAAATGTTCTAAAGGTTAAGTCCAGCTCCACTGTAGATGCGTTCACTCTGTACAAGATAGCCACGGCTACAGCAGAAGCATGTGTGCACTGTGCTCCTGGAGGGAGGTGAGTATGACGATCCCTGTCCTCAAGGAGCCTCAGTCTAGTAGGAAGGAGACATACTAGACTGTGAGCTCCTCGAGGGCAGGAAAGCGCTCCGTCATCTGTGCCCCATGCCCAGCATCTGAGCAGTGCAGGTGCAGCTGGCTGGAGCATGGCTAACCCAAGAAAGCTATGCAGACTTGAAGAACAGGCTACAGAGTCACAGAAGGGCCAGGGCCAGAGCCAAGAAAAAAAGAGAGTTCTGTTGGTAGAGGAGATATTTCACGTGTATGGAAAATGTGACCTTGGAGTGAGGACAGGGTCAAGATATTCTCAGGCCCTAAAGTTATCCTTTCACCTTCTGGGGGACACAAAGGGCACAAGAAGCCAGTGAAAGGTGCTTCCGCTGCAGCAGAGTTACTTTCCTAGCAAGTCATACCAAACCAGTTAGTGCTAGACAGATGAGAAGAAGTGGAGGGCACGGAGAAGGCACGCACTGCTTCTTGTCGGTACGATACCCTGTAGCAACTTACAGTGGGAATCTGAGACTTGTGAGGAGCAGGGCAAGCTGAGAGCTATGGAGGGAGGGAGAGGCAGTGCCCGTGTACTCATGGCCAGACAGTGGGGAATCGTACAGACAGCACACAGGAGGTGGGGCGGGGAACTGGCCAGTCCAAGAACAGGACACGGAATACCATGTCTATAAGGAAAGGAGATAGTAGGTAGTCAGGAGGCAAGAACATCAGGCTGGTAAAGTCTGCAAAGAAGGCCAGATCTGTCAAGATCAAAGAGCAATTGAATAAAAAACAACTAGCCAAACAAACACAACTGCTGAGCAGAGCAGTCGTAACAGCAACAACACAGACAACAAAAGTGAGCCTCGGGTTAAGTGGGAGAAAACACAGAAAGGCAGTGTAGAGCTGTCCCAGAGTGGGGAACCACACCCAGGGCTGTGAGCTGAGGTGACCAAGACAGTAGGTGGTAGCGAAATGGAACCTCACTGCATTAAGTGAGCACAGCTGCCACTATCTCTTCTATCTCTTCAGTGGGACTATTAAGTGTTCCAGGACGAGGACACAAATGTGCTTAGCAGTCACTGCTCACTGTATAAACTGCCCACTTCTCCTCTGGGGTCTGACCTCTTTCACACACTTCCTCAAGGAGCCTTCCTCTAAGACTGAACTCTTGAAGGCCTACAGCAGTGGCAGAGAGGGTAATTAGATGAATATTCTGGCCTGTGACAGCTGGAGATGTTTTTGAAAAAATTCAGCAAGTGAACAAAGAACCCAAACTCAGGGAAGTCCCCTAAACATAAGAGGTGAGAATATACTGAGCCAAAGTGGCACGTGTGTGGCCAAGCTGCACATGCTGCAGATTATATCATACCACAGCCTTACCACAGCTCTCTTTCAGTCACTTGGTACTCAGTCCTCACCCCAGCACCAAGCTACAGAAGTGATTAGGACAACTATCAGGGAAGTCATGCTAGGGACAAGATAAGCTGCCAGGTAGTCTGCAGATGCTTCTTTGAGGTAAAGCACAAATCTGGTTTCCGTGTGAGCTTTCAAGGGACTGGAAGCTCCTAGAGACCTGGTGGCTACTAGCACCTGGCACAAAATTCCTGAACAAACAATAGACATTTTAAATACACAGAAGCTGTTCTTCAAGGTACCAAAGGAAGGGCTCTCTCTCTCTCTCTCTCTCTCTCTCTCTCTCTCTCTCTCTCTCTCTCTCTCTCTCTCTCTCTCTCTCTGGGAGATGGGTTGATGAGGGAGGTTTATTGGAGGAGGAAACATTTCAGCTAGATTCTGAAGACTGAACAGGAGCTCATCAAGTAGCAAAGGGAGACCAAGAATACAGCACGTGAAAAGGTCATGAGCTACAGCAGGAGAATTATAAAACAGGCATATGCATGGTGCACAAAGTGCCAGGAAGGGGTTGTGAGAGATGAAATTGGAGATGCAAGCTGGGTCAAAATAATGACAGGCTTGATGAAGCCATGCTAAGTCAGAAGCTAGGGGAAAAACTGAATCACAATCAGCTTCAGTAAGAATTGATAATCTGATTCACTAACAGCTCTGGTAAAGTAACGAGAGACACAAATCAAATCCCAAAGTATCTGTGTCCTGAAGAAGCAGTTCCAACTTAGACATGCTGACAACCATCTCAGAGCTATGAGTGCAGAGGAGGAGAAGTAGCAAACCGGGCCCCACCCCAGGCCCCACCACCCCACTCCTACCTGAGCTGAGCTTTAAGTTCAGTAAACCTGGGCCGCCTGCTGGGGTCATAGGCCCAGCACTTCGTCATAAGGCTGTAGAGGGTGGGAGGACAATTTGGAGGCATTGGTAATCTTTCCCCATTTTCAATTCGCCCGATCACATCATTGTTCTTCACGCCTTGAAAAGGCTTCACGCCGTGCATCAGTATCTCCCACATACACACACCTGTGGAGTGGGAAGGAGAAAGTGCAGTGAGCTCAGCACCCAAACACAGGAGAACAGCAGAGCTAGTTCCTATGGCAGGAAGAACAGAAGAGCCACAACTTTCCCAGCGAACTATTTCTGAAAAGTCTCATTTACCAAGTAGTCCACTAGCTACTGGTTTAACCAGTGCAAAAACAAAACAAACAAAAACCCTAAAACAAACAAACAAACAAAAATCCCCACAGAAAACAAAAAACAAATCCCCAGTGAATTTTATAGGCCAGCCCCACCAACTTACAACCATGCTGATTTTAATGAGTCACTAAGGCGTAACAAAAAAATCCTGTCATTTAAGCCTTGAGCTGAAGAAAGCTTGGATTCCTCACCAAGATGCATATGGGTCATTATCATCTTGTTTACACAACATCACCTCCATCTAAAGGCACAGCTGGACCTTAGAAAGTGCACCCACTCTGTAACACTGGGAATCAAGGATCTGTCCATCACCATCTTATTCCCCAAACAAATGAACAAACCTAACAGCACTGACAGGAACACTGGGGGCATGAGACAGAGAAATAACACAGGAGGTGGGGTGCAGGTCTTTTCTTAGCATCCTTCTAGCCCTCCTGACGTCTTGTACCTTCTGGATAGGGCGCTTGTAAGGACCCTTCCCTTTGTCTCAGCCAGTAAGTTATGACTGTTTTACATCTCACCTATCTTCAAGCACAGGTTTACAAACAATGCTTTGGGAAGAGGGTTCAGACTGGGCAGAGTAAAGCTGACCTCTAAGGAGGCAAGCAATATTCTGTGTTCACTGGAATCAGATTCTGATATTGGCCCCAAATTTAATTCACAGAATCAAAAGTTCTAAAGAGTCCCTGACAAAAATAACATGCTGCTACTGAGCTGTTCCTCAGTGGGAACCAGGACAGTAGTATCAGCAAGTTCTAGCACAGCCAGTGCTACATACTTGAAAAACCAACCAAACAAACAGTAAACAATACTATTTTATATGACAAAATGGGAAAACACTACCAGTGTATCTATGTGATCTTGTCTTACTGTTTAGATTTTATTCTTACCAAAAGAACTTTTATAAACAATCATACACTAAAAGTAACAATACAACTCAAACTGACAAAGCCCACATGAAAACAGAAAGTACAGCTGCATTAAAAAATGTTCTGATGAATGCCAACTCTAAAATCTTAACATATTCCAAAAATGCTAAGTGCACAGAAATGGTGAAGCAGAGTCCCTGAGAAGGTGAGCATCTAGCCTTGAGGTCTGCACACCCAAGTCCATCTTGCACCTGCACTGACTGGACCCTGAGCCTTGCTAACGCTGCCATAGACCTAAATATATTAAAACCAACAGCATTCAGGCAGAAGAAAAATTAAGAATGCTTATTTTCAATCTGTGAAGTTAATTTTACTTACAGAAAAAGTTAAATAAACTTAATTATATTTCTCCTCCAGAGATAATTTCACTCAAGACTACCCACAAGAGCCACAGGTGAGTATCAGGGACAAAAGGAAACGCAGAGCACAGAGAGACACCTGCTACGAGTAGCTTCCTGAAAAGGTGGACATTTTAAGTTAGACAGGGTCCAGCTGGAGAAGAGGGTGTAAGAATCAGGCATTCCAGGCGGAAAGAACATCAGGAAAGGGGGTTCTGGAGGTGGTGAGAAGAGTCAGTCTCTTCACAGTCACAGAAAGCTTGTAGGCAGACCAGAGAACAAGAGGGAAGGAGTGTGTTTAAAGGCCAAGCCACAGGAGAAGAACGGCCTGCTCCCAAGCCTGGAGACAGGAGGCCTCAGTACAGACGCTCTGGGCCAGCTGTGCCTCGCAGAGCCAGAAGAACGTACATGTTGGGAGCAGTAGGAGAGCATGAGAGAGAAAACAGGAAGAGGAAAGCAGGCAGCTGTTCCCTCTGGGGAAGGCAGAGAAGAGCAGGGACAGTGACAGAGACCACACTGATCACAGAGGACACTGCAGCATCTGACAAAAGAGATGCTCATTCTGAAGACATGATGCTAGCTTTATTTTGCATAATACAGCAAAGTTAATTAAAAAAAAAAAAAAAAAAAAAAAAAAAAAAAACTCACCAAACATCCACACGTCACTAGCTGAGGTAAAACGTCGAAAATTGATTGACTCTGGAGCCATCCATTTAATAGGCAATTTCCCTTTGGAAGCTAGAAGATTAATTTTAGAAAATGAATTTTCTTTGTTAGCTGCTTTGAGTACCTAATAGAGCTAGTCAAGATTTTCAGCATCAAAATAAATAAAAAAAAAAAAAAAAAAAAAAAAAAAAAAAAAACATCAGCTGACCCATAAACATCCATTTGTTTGAGAGAATGACTAATTTACTTTGTACTTTGACAGTTCAGAAGTGGCTAGCTTGGGATAGGGACAGAAAAGTTGGGTGTCATTCCCCTCTTCATTTGAGAAAGATCTGTGTATGGTGGTAACAACATACAGTCCATTACATGAGCTTCATAGTATATCGTAGCACATTCACCTGCAGTTGGGACCCTTGTTCTACAAATGCCCCATGTAAAAAATATACATAGCACTCCTGCTGAAACAAATTATGTTCTTCCAAGCTGGCCCAGATACAGACCCTATGCTCCCAAGAAATATATATAAACACACCTTGAAGAGATTAAACATTAAATCCTAAAATGAATCATGCATGGGGGTAGGTGGGCGTGGGTCTATTCTTTATAAACAAGGCTCATACCTGATTCATGGGTTTACTTTATTAATAGAAGCCAGAGCTTGGCTCTGCATCCTACCCAAGTCCTCTGGCTCAGAAAGACCTCAGATGGAAATGCACAGCCTGGTTTGACTACTCTGTGCATGCCCCGACTGACTACGAAATCACCCCAAGGACTAAGGTGGAATTATCAGCTTTAGCTAAGAGGAGAAGGAACAAAGCTGGAATCGATGGAGGATCAGGACTGATGACACCTTCACCAATATGTGCAGAGCAGGACTATCGTTCTTGAAGGCAGGCAAAGAAGCATAGCCACAGTGGTCCCAGGAGTAAAAGATGAAGACTAGGCCAACTGTCCCACAAACAGGAGAAACGTGGTGGGGAGCACAGGGAGGGCGGGGCACAGAGCAGGAAGGAACCAGCATAAGCTCTACAGGCCTTCCTCTGTAAGTAGTAAGTCTCTGCGTAGACTTTCCATTCTTAGAAACAGGGCATTTCAAAAAGTCCCAAACCAAAGAAACTTAACTGGATTTGCCAGCTGACTATCTTAAATGTTCAAATAATGTAAAATCTTGGTCAGCATACAAAGGATCTTGGAATTCAGTTTATAGTGAAATTTTAGGACTCAGACTAGTTAAGATTTGAATTAGACATGAAATGTATTTCAAAATAGTGAAAAACATAGTTTAAAACCTCAAACTTTTTCTGTTATAGGATCACTGTCAAAATAGAAGCAGTTCCTCAAGTGTCAAGTCTCCATGGCAGAGAGAGGGTTGAGGGTAGTGAGAGCATTTGAGGTCTGGTCTGGTGGGAACCCAGGTCTCATTTCTCTGGTACTGCTGTCACTGGGAGCTGTGTGATCACCCTACACTCTTTCACTCTCGTCAGCAACTCATGAATAATCAGGTTCTCTGTATCCACGTCTCTCTCCACTGTTTCCTTTCAGCAATTCTGATGAGGGTGGAGTGCTGTCTCATGTGGACCTAACTTTCACTTACCACCCATCCAGTCTCTACAGTCTGTGTGTGCTCAGATTTTTACTCAGGGTTTAAATGCTTTGTTTACAGTTAGCATCCTTCCTATATTCTGGAGACTAGTATTAGTCACATATATGTGTAACAAATATTTTCTCCTGCTCTGTACCTTGTCCTTCATCCTTTACAGAGCAAATATGTTCAATTTCAATGTGGTGGGATCTACCAGTTTTATCTTTTAATACACTTTGGTGGCATGTGTACAGACATCTGCTTAATTCTAGATCTCAAAGGGTTACTATGTGGTTTCTTCTAAATTTTATAGTTGTATTCCTTATAACTAAATCTTAGGCTGTTGTGAGTTATTTTGAGGTGAGGTCTGGGTTAAGACTGTCCAAAAGTTGCACCATCTGAAAAGGCCATCCTTCCTCTAAACTGCCTTGGGTTTCAGTAAAACACATTATGACACAGCCTGCATTAAAATCTTGGTGTTTTTGTGTATACCTACAATTCTAGCATTTGGAGGCTGAAGCAAAAGGACTACATGTTTGACACTACTCCACGCTACATAAGAAGGCCCTGTCAAATAAAAGAACTCTTCTCCAAATATCAATGATTCATAGCCCATTTCCCAGTTGTTGTTCTGGTTTCTCACCTTTATAGTAAGTACTGTCTTCCATATATCGGGATAATCCAAAGTCTCCTAATTTTACACAATCATTTGAGGACACCAGAACATTCCGAGCAGCAATGTCCCTGATAAAGCAAAATTGGGGACAGTAAGCAACAACAACAACAACCACATCAACTTATGATTATTATACACAGATACACAAGTAGGTATTTTAAAAGATAGCTTATTCACAACATGAAGAGATTCACAAATACTTGTCACTTTGATAAAGTCACACAGTGAGGGCATGATGGCATCATACTGACAAGCAGTGAATATGTGGTCAGCACAACTGGAGATCTCCACAAACAGAATTCCCTGCAAGCACTTGTGAATAATTTCTATGATGCAGCCTGCTGTAATACTAGACATCAAAACAGTAACTCTGCTGTGATCCTTAGAAAACACATTAATTATAGGGACTTTAACTTGTGCTCCAACCCAAAGCTGTAAATTCCAACAAGAATGACAACAAATGTCACTCACAACATTTAGATATTCTGTAAAGTCTCAGGTCTGCTTGTAGGCCACTTCTACAGATTATCTGTTCTGTAAGTATAGGCTCTGGATTACGTTTGGGGAAGGAACATACGACTTGAAAGCATCATACAAAAGGGACAGACAGACCTCGGGAGTGCTTGCAGGGAGCAGCCTTAGACAGGCTCATTGCAGTCTGGGCTGCATGGAACTCCTCTAGCATCAATCTCTCAGGTGCTGGGATCAATGGTGTAAGGCAGCATGCCTGTATAAAAATCTCTCGTCTGCTAACAGGCCATGGCCCTTCTCTCTGAAAGGACATAATATACCTCGAGTCCCCCTCCAATTACCTCCCCCAGTACAGTTTCACTCTGTAGATCAGGCTGGCCTGGAACTCACAAAGGTCTGCCTCCTGAGTGCTGGAGTTAAAGGCGTGCAGCACCTTGACTTTTTTCTTTTTTTTTGGGGGGGGGGGTTTGAGACAGGGTTTCTTTGGTAGCTTTGGCTGACCTAGAACTCACTCTGTAGACCAATTTGCCTGCTTCTGCCTCCCTCTCAAGTGCTGGGATTAAAGATGTGTGCCACCACCACCCAGCAGGCTCAAATGAAGACCAAGCATCTTGTGTGGGTGCAGAAGTAACTTCCTTCCTTGTTTGTCAGTTAACCACTTAGTGCCGAAATGGAAACAACCAAACAGATTTGGTTGAGCACCTGGTCCCCAGGCTGGTTTGGCAATTTGTGGGACTTTATGGAGACGGGACCTAACTGGCAAAGATCACAAAGGCAGGCCTTCTTGGCTGGTCCCAGGCTGGCCCCTGACACTATAGACAGAACTGCTCCTATTGCCATTCCTTCCCCACAATGATGGCCAGAGCCCCCGAAACCAAGAGCTAAAACAAACCCTTCCTTTCTCAAATTGCTCAACCGCACAGAAGGCAAAGCAGCAGCTTCATGAATGCCTTACCTGTGAACAAATCTTTTGCTTTCCAGATACGCGAGTGCTGTACTAAGCTGATAGGCATATAGGATCAAAGATGCCAGATCCAAGCTGTACTTCCTTACTTGCAAAAATGACCTCAGCTTTTGAAATAATGGCCAAGACAAAAGAGAAGTAATTAGAGACAGAGTATAGATATTAAGAGCACAAAAAATACACTCAGCAACACTGTGAAGGTTCCCAAATGCCTTTTTACTTTATTTATTATTATTATTATTTTTTTTTAAATGAGACAGGGTCTTATTATGTAATCATGGTTGGTCTGGAATTAGATGTGTAGACCCGGCAGGCCTCCAACTTATAGAGATCCTCCTACCTCTGCCTTCTAAGTAGAATTAAAGATATGTACCAATATGTTCAGCTCTCTAAATGTATTTTAAATTGTATTATACTTTAGCTTTTCTTTGAGAAATAATAAAACAATTATTATTCATTTGAGACCCCTTTAAAACTTACAATCTTTGTGACTATAGACACACTTCTAAAACATGTAAAATATGGGCCTGGGGAAAAGAAAAAGAATGCTAAACAGTAATGCCCAGAGAATGAAAGGACAGTCATATTCACCCACCCTAGTGCACCTTGCTGTGCTCCAGGGAGTGTTTTAGGGGAAGACAGGAGGAGTCCGCTTTCCTCCCTAACCCATCGTTTTGATACAGGATGGATGCTTATCCCACTGGGATTACCAGTCCTTTTCACTGACTCCATTCATTCAGCTACATGCTAACACAGGACTTTATCAACATCCACCCCAATTTCTAAAAAACTTAGTACAGAAAAGGAAAGCATTTAGCAACAGCATGAAATAAAACCTGTAAACCAAAACCCTACATCACCCTTTGTCTGATTTGACACTAAGGAAACAGAGAAGGGAAGGAATGATGTAAAATGAATGCTGGTTTACCTCCCTACCCAGCTAAAAGTTTGATTCAGGGGCTGCAGGGATGGCTGCTCTTCCAGAGGTCCTGAGTTCAATTCCCAGCAACCACATGGCTGCTCACAACCATCTATTCCATCTATTCTGGTGTCCTCTTCTGGCCTGCAGGCAGCATACATGCAGGCAGAACACGTGTGTGTGTGTGTGGGGGGGGGGATGAGAGTTTGACTCAGGCCAGGTGGTGGTGGCACATGCCTTTAATCCTAGCACTTGGGAGACAGATCTCTGTGAGTTTGAGGTCAGCCTGCTCTTAGGACTGCCAGGGCTCCACAAAGAAGCCCTGTCTAGAAGAGTCTTACTCAGCAGCCTGGGTGGAGCACAGGATTTGCTTCTCTAGCAAGCTTCCATCCCACCTTGACCCAGGTGGAGGTGATGACTGGTTTACACGTTTTGAATAAAGTCAAACAAGGCCAGTGATACTGTTACTCATAGTTTTCAAAGAAACTGAGTAATAGGTTAGTCTGAAAAACAAGTGAATTCTCAAAAGGATTAAGAAGCTGCTTAAATTTAGTACTGTTTCTTTCATCCTCAAGCCACTAGGCTAGTTCTTCAGGCAAAGCCACAAGAGGGAAACAGCCTAGTTATCTGCTGCTACCTGCCCCAATAACACACCTAGATGGGAAGGAAACTGCTGAGAAGGGAACCATCTGGGAATGTAATGGTGAAGATTTTATTTCATTTTATGCTGAAGATGAGGATCTCACACTATACTGTCCAGGCTGACCTCAAATTCCTGGGGTCAAGTGATCAACCCTCTTCAAACTCACAAGATGGGGGAGGACTAAAGTGTGTTCCACCAGGCCCAGTTCAATGAAGAAGCGTGGCTTCTGGGTAAAAAGCATACATAATCCTCAACAATGTAATCTGTTATGCAAGTGAAGGATATCATACAGCAGGTACAAAGCTGTTGCCACCCATGGCTAGACATCCTGGGGTCTTGGTACCTCTCCAAGCGTGCACAACTCCATGATTATCCAGACGGGGTTCTCTGTAATGACTCCAATCAGCTTCACGATGTGAGGATGGTCGAACTGACGCATTGTTACTGGGGGGGGGGGGGGGGGTGGTCTCCATTAATCTCCCAAAGCTCTTTCAGTTTCTTCAGACTGGCTCATTTTACACACATGACTACATCCATAGAGACCGTGCACAATGCCACAGGCCAATCCTGGTCCTATGTGAGTGAGAGCTGGCACAAAAGGTACTTGGCACTATCAGGGCATAAGATAAAACCCACTCTGGGGAGAAAATGAGGTGAAAGGGAGGAGGGGTCCTAGAGCTACACCCAACAGGCAACCACAGGGACTTGTACTTGAAGATAAATGGCTGTGGTCTTGTTTGCCAAAGTGTAAATGGCAGCTCTCAGGGCCCCAAAGACCAGTTCCCACAGAGCAGTGAGGAATTATGTGAGAGAGAAACTAGATGTTGTCCGGCTGCTGTGTTCTACTGTGACCAGCAGTTCTTTTAAGAGGGACCCATGCCAAGTGATGTTCACAGAAGTCATAAGGCTTAACCACCCAACTGAGCCCAATAGGACCCAGAACATACTGCACACACGTGTATACCTATGTGTGACACATAACCATTCAGAATCTCTACAACTCTCTAGCATCATAACAAAAGCTTTGGAGGTTATAGAACCTCTAAAGAACCTCCAAGTACAACTAGTTAGAGGCAACCAGAAACATAGGACTTCAGATTGCTAAAATGGAAAATAACAAAATCAAAAGGCTGTTGAGCAAGGAGCAAAAGTATCTGTTTATGAGTGAACATGCACACATGAGTGCAGTTGCCCAGAAAGCCCAGAAGAGGAAGTCTGATTCTCTGCAGCTGGACTTGGTGGCTGTGAAACACCTGATGTGGCTGCTGGGAACTGAACCCAAGTCCTTTACAATAGTAGTAATGTGCTTAACTGCTGAGCCATCTCCCCAGCCCCAAAGTATACCGTTAAATTCTGTTCTCTTAAATTCACGTCACTGTTTAATTACTCTGGTATCTTGTGATAAATCTCCAAGTACCCATGGTATCTGCTTTCACCTCCGATTTTACATGATCGACCATCACAGTTATCACAACTTTATTTCCTTTGACATAATTAGCGCAGATAATACAGAGCACAGAATGAGGAGCTGAGGAGGGTCTTACAGTTACAGGGAAACTATCACACTGCACTAGAAACCCCAAGTTAAGTTTAGCCTGCCATTTATCTATTGGGCAGTAGATAAAGGACACGGGCTACCACCTACTTGTAAAGTAGACTCACTGCAACTTTGCCTGCCTGTGTGTTCCTTTACGTATCTGTGTTTCTGCAGCACAGTGATGGGGCTAGAGAGCTGGGATGGAGATCTTTACTATCTGGCCCACAACTCAAGTTTAACTATTCCTGGCCTAGGCCATCTTGCCCATCTTACTTGTAGCCTGTCAGCAATACTGCCTGTCACATTCCCTAAAGAAGCGGTGAGCAACCCTCATTTATTTATTATGTGTACAGTGTTCTGATTGCACGTGTGCCTGCATGCCAGAAGAGGACAACAGACCTCACTACAGATGGTTGTGAGCCACCGTGTGATTGCTGGGAATTGAACTCAGGACCTCTGGAAGAGCAGCCAGTGCTCTTAACCAATGAGCCACCTCTCCAGCCAGAAAGAAACAGACTTAATCTAATCTGGCTATTTGTACAAACACACAACTGAGAAACGCAGTGGTGCCTATAGGACCACAGCACAGCATATGCTTAGATACATGCACTTGTGAAAGAGAAAATGCACAACCCTTCCCGAGGTGAGGCAGGCAGGAAGACTGCAGCCTGAGCACTGGCTGGTCTGTCATTTTTGGCTTAGGAACTCAAGATAAAAGCCACTGGCCAGGTCTCATTTTATTCTCAAATCAGGGATTAAAGAATATGACTAAAGATACAGTTAACAGATGATCTTACAATGTGCCTGACTAGATGGGTAGGTGGCATGAAATGCAAAGTGGAAGAGATTCGCCCAGCGTTTATGCGCTGACCGTCACTGGAGTTCTGTCCCATGCTGGCTGCCTTCCCCAGGACAAGCCCTGCAATGGTCCCTGTGCAGTGATGAGTGTATGGGCCTTGCCCCCATAAAGCGTAGAGACTCCAGGGAGAGGCAGAGAACAAGCACATGTGACACTTGTATGCATTTAATCATGGACTCTGCAGAGGGGCAGAGTGTGGCCCTGCTGGCGGCAGTGGTGGTCAGGAGGCTGAAGAAACCCTATGAGAGGCGAATTCACATCAATGTGTTTGACGTGTAAAATTAGGTAAGATCCTGTTCTCCACCAGTGTCCTTTCAGGACAGAAGGCCCACGAGGCACAGCTCATCTGAGCCAGCCTCACAAGTGGGATGGACACACCTAGGCCAGAGGGCTGGGGGTGGTGGGGAGAATCACTACTAGATAAAGTCACCCAGGAAACTGTCACAGGAAGCCTCTCCTGGGGTTTCTGTCTGACTCTGCAGGGCAGGAAGCTAGTCATGATCCTGACTCATCTGTAGCTTATGGGCTCCGTCAGGACAGAACTGTGTCATCTTGGTTACCTCTGTACTCATGGGGTCTGGAAGGATCTGGGTTAGAGCCATTCATGCACAAGCACCAACTGCAGCTCAAAGATGCTGAATTCTAAAGGGAGCAAATAATAAAGAGACTGCACCATCTTCCTCTACATGCAAACGTGTCTGCCTATAGAAACCTGTCAAATGTAGACATTTGCAAGGTGAGTAATAATGTCTTATAAAGTGAAAGTATCTTTCTTATAAAGACAGCTGGATTCAGGCAGAAAGTCAAAAGGAGATCCACAAAACTTTAAATGAACTTACAGGCTTCTTGAAGGAACTTCTCTCTCACGCTGTCCGAAGTACAGTTTTTACATGTTTTGATTGCAACAGCCAAAGCTGGATTCTCCTGTGTCAGGGAAATTACAGAATCACACATACATGCAAAAAAGGTTCTCTGCATTAGTCAACACACACACACACACACACACTCACACACACACACACACACACACAGAGACAGAGAAGCACTATTTGTTTTATAACTGTGGATTTGTGGTCAGATCAGAGTTAAAACTGTAGAGCAAAATGGACATGCATGTGAAAAGCCACAGGCACATCATTTACGCATGTACCAGACGCTATTAAATGGGTAAGGTTCTGAGTTCTCGAGGCACAACAGTGAAAAACAGATGCAGGGATCCCTGCTTTGGGTCAGTGAGAAACACCAATGATAAAGCCAGTCAGTCCGCCAGTGTTAGAACAGAATTTTAGAAGACAAGAATAGATCAGACAGGACATGAGGGACAACGTGGTAGCAGCTGTATGAGGAACACTTCACTCAACAGATGGGAGGAAGACAAAGATCCCTAGAAGAGGGAGCCAGTCATAGCGCATGGTATGGAAGGGATGGTGAACAAGCAGCTCAAACGCATTGCAGGGGGAGTGGTGGACCAAGGCAAGAGCGGTAGAGTGTGTTAAGGGTAGAAACACTGAGAAAGGGGACCCTAGGATGGAGGGGGCAGGGCTGGGGAGGGTAGTCCCCAGTAAGTAACACTCCTGCAGCAGCCTCTCCATGAGATGGAGAGCATGAATCACAATGCCTAACTGAAACTGTGGATCTGACTATGTGAGTTTGGAAGGGGCACTCTGGCTCCATCTGCTGCTGAGAGATGATGTAAAAGGTGGCTACTGGTGGAAACTGGGAGACAAGCTGGGCAGTGGAGGTAGGAAGAGGTCTGGGCATCTGGATTTTCCCTCGAGGTTGGGTAAAGATGGCCCTTGGTGTGCTAGGAGAGAGTAGGTTCAGGTTTTGACCAGAGAAACTAATAATGTGGGAGGAGAAATCAGAAGTTGATGGTCTCTAACACTGATAAGCTGGGGCACCAGAGGCTGTAGGACAGTCTAATCCTTGGGACTATGCATCACTAGAAGAGACAGCATGCCAGGACCATGCTTCCCACCCCCCACCCCCACAAGCAATAAGAAAGCCAAAGAAAGAAGAGAAAATGACGAAGGAGACTAGAAAGGCATGGTCCACAGAACAGGAAGCACCCAAGAAAATAAGTAGTTCTAACAGTCAAAGTTTGTCTTCAAGAAGTTCAATGAAAAGAGCTTGAGAGATAAAAGGAACACAAGGGAAGGACGATCTGTGGCTTTGAGTGAATCAAGAATCAAGGTACAGGATGGATGAACACAGGCAGATACTACCTTTGTCAAACCATTTACTTACCTTACTATAACATGCCCCACCTTGTGTCACCAAGCAAAGCAGAAGAGACAGGATGACGGGAAGTGGAGCAGACAGGGCTCTACAAAGGCACGTCTCCTCAGCCCCATTGTCTCTACTGCCTAACCCCTGTCATCATCCTGTGCAGTGTGGATTAATAACCCAGGCAGAGGCAAACATCACAGTGATGCTGCGAATTGTCTTTGAATTCTTATACAACCCCTTGCTTCCTAAAAACAGCTAGGTGTGATGACAGCTGTGCTCTCTGGCCTCTCCTGGGGCTGTGGTTCCCATTGGGCTATGCTATTTTCCTGAGAATGGACTAGTGAGACCCACGCCCTGCATGCTGAACATGAGTCAACAGATGTTAGAAGACACAGTAGGTGACAAGCCATGCTGGTAGAAGGGCTAACCATCAATTGGCACCTTTTGTCCTTACTTCCTCTGTGAGCCTACACTCATTCCCTGAGTCAACTTGAAGGTATAAAGTTATTTTTAAGTGGCATGATCTAAACAGAACTTTAGAAGCACATGGTCAGGGTGAATTTTATATGCCCCTTTTAATAGATCATGAAGGAATGAGATGTGAATCAGGGGAGAAAGAGAAAGAGAGGGACAGACAGACAAACAGACAGAGACAGACAGACACTAGGCTGCCTTGACCTCACAACCCTGATTCCTAAGTGTGAAGGTGGCATGTGTGCCTCCATGCCTGGTCCATCAATGAGTTAACATTTAGGTTGTGGGCTGCCCTTTCCAATGTGTGGGCCTCACCCTGAAGACGCCCACAAAGAAGTGGTAACTGAGATATTTACTCTTGCTACCTTCTTCTGGCCTTAGACTAATGTTTACTTTCTCCACTTTTGAGTGTGCTAACTACACAGACCCTATGCAGTACCTTTACAGAAGCTGTATGTTCCATAGTCTTCTCCATCTCTGAGATGAAACCCTAATCATAGCTGTTTAAGGGTGACATCTTGATGAAGCTTTTGAACATTTTTATTATGTATATGGTGTTTCTGTCTGCATGTATGCCTGCATGCCAGAAGAGGGCACCAGATCTCATCATGGACAGTTGTGAGCCACCATGTGGGTGCTGGGAATTGAACTAGATTTAGGACATAGGATTGTCACACCCAAGATGGATTCATTTTTAAAAAGAAAATGATGGCTGGGGTGTAACTCAAGAGTATACCATTTCCCTAACATGCACAAGTCACTAGGACAAACTCTGAGAGCACGGAAATGGAAAAGGTGGTGTGGGGGAACGACAGGGGAGTTCACCAACTCTGCGATGTGAGTGAGGTGAGTAACAAGTCTGGAAATTTACTTATCAGGAGCTATAAAAGGAAATGGCAAACCACCTGGTTTAGTAACAGAAATTCATGAGCCTCATTTCCTATCATCTCAGTCAGGCAGAGCCATGCCCGAGCTAATTATTAAGACCCTGGCTTCCTTTTGCTGTATTTTACCCTCAAAAGGCAGAGTTAAGACAAGGAAAATATATACAGATACAGTTTTATCTTTATCTTTTTCTTTTTTTGAAACTGAAAAGAGTAAGTAGGAAAAATGTGTAATATAGTGTTGGGACAAAGTCTAAGAATAGAGCTGTGTGAAAATTCTGAGTGCTTGTGAGAAAACTCCAAGAAAATAAGACTTCTGTGTCTTCAAATCACAGAACTGTTCTTGGAATATGTTTTCAAGCTCCTCCCAGGTATAGTGGACAGAGTTTACTTCAGCTGTGTTACTCATGTGCCTCTGTGGGAAAGCATGTTTTTGCCATGTGTGGCTTATCCTTGTGATTGAACACCGTATTCATATGATTCTTAACCCTCAGGGTAGGAACTGTCTGATGCTCTGAATAAAGCTGGCCATTGAATGAGAATTTAGCCAACCTAGTTTAGGCCCAGCTCTCCCAGCTCCATACTGTCTATGAAAGCAATAAACCACGTGTTGTGCAATTCAAGTTAAGAACAGAGAAAAGGCATCAGAAGCAGAACCTTCCACTACATGACAGGACTAGCAAGGAGCATTTCCTTACATCTGGGTAAGGAGCATTTAAAAAGGCAGCTATAGAGGCTCTATGGAAAAGCATCTCTCAAGTTCTTACACCGAGGATGTAACAGGCGAATTCCTGTGCTGTCATGCTATTATTATGACATCTCTGTATCCATCAATATTCATTTAAAAAAGTTTCTTCACCAGGCAGTGATGGCAGACTCCTTTAATCCCAGTACTTAGGAGGCAGAGGCAGGAGGATCTCTGTGAGTTCAAGGCCAGCCTGGTCTACAAGAACAAGTTCCAGGACAGGCTCCAAAGCTACACAGGGAAACCTTGTCTCGAAAAACCAAAAACCAAACAAACCCAATCATCCAAACAAAAAAAAAAGGCATCCTCAATAAGTATAGACTGTAATTTTAAAACATAATTTAAAAAAAATCATCAATCAAACAAAACAAAACAAACAACAACAACCCAGGAGGGACACTAGTGAAGACTGGGAGACACTGGCTAGGAGCTGTGTAAAATAAAGAGTGCCTTGGAAAACTGGTGTTCACATAGGTGCTGCATGAGGAAGCTCCACACGTAGTGTTCATGGCAGCACTTAATAACCAAACAGGAGAAATAGCTTACACGTTCAATTAGCAGACCACAGACAAATGAGGCCTGGATTGATGGCTCACAGGTTAATAGCACTGGCTGCTTTTCCTGAGGACTTAGTTTCAATTCCCAGCTCCCACATGGCAGCTCACAACTATGTGCAACCCCAGTTCTAGGGGATTCAACACCCGCTTTTGACCTCCTTAGATACCGGTAAAGTACATGGTGTACTTATATACATGCAGGCAAAACACTCATACACAAAAAACAATTTTAAATAATTAAATATTTTAAAAAAATAATTTTAAAAAGGGTAAGTAAAAGGTAGAAAGCACATCTATGCAAAGGAATATCAAGGCAAGGAAGAGGAAGAAGACAGCACACTGTATAATTCATTTACATGAAATACCCTCAACAGGGAAACTGAGAGGCAGAAAGGAGACAGGTGGCCACCAGATGGCTGCTAGGAGCTAGAGAGGGGCGAGCGGCATGAACTGTACCTGCTGATGGGCTTCTTGGGGGTGAATAAAGAGTTCTAAAACTGACTGAGGTAAACTGTTGCACAATTCTGTAAACATTAGCTTTATATACGTAAGCAGTCAGTCTTGATTTCTAATAGTTATAAGGACTTACTGGGCTCAGGTACACGCCTTGATGTACGTCTCCAAACTGACCTTCTCCAATACAGCGTCCGAGTTCTATTCTTTCTCTCTGAATCTCATAATCCCTGGCTGCAAAACATGTCCCACACATAGATAAACTAGTACAGAGCTCCAAATGTGGGCACAGCATGATACACACATTCACCTAATTACCATTCATAAATGCATTCTCATTTGCAGCATATCAACATAAAAATGTCTGAAGAGTGGAAATCTCTTAAACACTATCTTAAAGACTATCAGCAATCAGTTATGGTATCAGGGGAACTACCAAACAATGAGTTTGGCTGAAGGTAGATTTTTTTTTCTTTTTAAAACCCATAATGCGCTTAGGAATCTCTGATTTATTTGGTAACGTATAATTTTCTAAATAATTGCTCTAAATACTCCATTATATGCTTAATTAATAATTGCTATTGGTTTAGGTATTAATATATGAAGGCTATAAACGTATTTAAAGCAATTATTTTTTAAACAACTAAAATTTGTTAGGTATGGAAGCAACATTAAACTGTTATGAGTAAACTGCATTTTAATAGTTTAAGAGTTTTCCACTTCACTTTAATCCTATCTCTAGATTATTTATGGAGCTAAAAGAGTTTAAAGAGGCAGTTTCTAGAAACTAATTTCAAAATTAGTTGACTCTGAACTGAATATACCAGCACAAATATTTGAGAGCATGTGTTCCAAAATCATGAGTTACAACAAGTTCTTTAAGTAGGCTGCTGAGGCACATGGAAATACAGTATCTGCTAGGAACACAGACAAACCAAACTCAGTTGGATTAGCTATTCTGTCTTAGGCTACTTCGAGCATGAGAATCACCCCATCCTGTATGTGTTCCAATTGTGCTATCACCAGCACAACAGCCAAAAGTTAACAAGACTCCTGGGTCAGACAACTAAATCTGACAGATCACCTAAGTTTTAAATAGTTGTTCCTTCCTCTTTAAAATCGATTTAGCCAATAATTCCACCAATTTAACAGTATGAGTAAACCAATGACAAGTTTGAAAATATATTAACTGAAACTGAAACACCCGCATCACTCCAGGGTGGCAATTGCAAGCAAATGCAGTTATGTCAAAGGATCCTGTTACCTTCATCTATTCCATAGCTTTCTGTATTGCAATTAAGAGAGAGAAAAAAGTGGAAGACCTTGCTTAGAAATTGCTGGTAGCAATTAGGTTAACAACAACAAACTTGGAGAGTACATTTCAATAGTATTTACTTAATTATTTTAAGCACAGATAAATAAAAAAGAAACAAAACACATATAACAACCAAACATCTTAGGAAACTCTGGAAAAGAAACATTTGAATTTCCTAGTCTATTATACTTAATAAAAACACAAACGTGGATTGTCTGAAGAAAAGACTAAAGGCTAGTCAGAATGCAAACACAAGTTAAAATGATTTTCCAAGTTGCTATTGGCAACCCAAACCTATGTACCACATCTCAGCTCCTGCCCAGATGCTAAAGGGGCTCTTGAAAGACAAGTGGACATTGGGTGCATGCCGGAAAATACAAGCCTCAGGGGCCTGTCTGTTTTCTCTTGATTTTGGTAATATCCTCTAATGCATAGAAAATCCAAAGGAGAACACTTTAAAAATGTTCCACAAGAGTACAGGACCTACTTCTTTTGACATTTTGCCTACAATTTTTTTTTCTTTTCTTTTAATTTTCTGAGACAGGGTTAAGGCCTAGATGTGGAGTTTAATTACTTAAAATTGACTGATTTGTACACCAAAGTGAAAATTCAAGGACTTATCCAATTCAGCCAGGCAGGGTCCGGGGAATGCAGATTTCCCTCTTCCGATTAGGTACACAGTCACTGGGAAAATTAGTATGCTGACATTCCAAACTAAAATAGGTCATCAAGGGTTCTGCACTGTGCTGTCCTACTTCATGCAAGCTCCTCCCAGTGTTCTGCTGAGGGAGGGCTAGCATTCACTCTACTAGTGAATGTAATGAGGATAACTCAAGGAGAAAAGCAAGCCACTCAATGTGTGCAAATACACTTTTGAACTTACAAGAATACACCACTCAATGTGATCATATGTACATCTGAACTCAAAATTATACTCATTTTCTATAAAGCCAAAATAATCAATGAAGGCTACATTATCATAGAACCAGAAAATGAGATCACACAAATTCCACAACTAACTGAATGAAATAACTTCTGGTATCTGCACTTCAGGCTTCTGATCTTAAGCTAGGCACATAGACTGCTACCTAAAAGGTGAAAGGCCATTCTGTTAGGCGCTCAGATGGCAGATGTGCTTTTACAGCTTCTCAGTGTGAGAAGCAGCTTACTCACTCGAGGGCATGGTGTATGTATCTTCCTCATCGATGATCTCAGCGTAGTCATCTGTCTCTGGAAAAAAAAAAAAAAACAAAAAAAACCAAAAAACAGAGAGGTTGGCCAAACTCAAACGCTTCACTACTTGGCCTTCAACATAATCTCAAACAGCAGGATTCTGTGCCCCAACCCCACACTGTGCAAATGGTCTCCACAGAATACAAGGATTCAGATTTGGCTCACATGTAATTATGGAAAGAACAAGGATCATTGTGGCCCAATGCATACAGTTGTTTATCAGAAGGTAAACAAGGCTAATAGTCCGTGATATGAACTGAGCATTGTAGAGTTCAAAGGAGATGTATGTTTAGCATAAAGCCCTCCCTTGATACTACCAAATGCACATCTGAACCAAGCTGGCCTGAAGGGAGTTTACAAGAGAGAAGGGTCTTCAAATATCCTGCAAGGAGAACAGTGATCCAATTTCTGAGGAGACTATACTGGGCTCATTTATTGCATTTATTCTGGGTTAAAAACAAACAAAACAAACAAACAAACAAACAAACAAAAAACCCAACCCATTCCAGCAATTTATCTTTTGGTGCCTTTTTACCCAAGCAAAAGATCTGATAAAAAGTACAAGAACAAACAGCGTATTAAACTGAGTTATTTTTGAGATAAGGTGGAAAAGCTCATGCTTTCACTAATTCCTTTTTTGTAAATGCAGCAACTTAACCCACCATGCTAATACTGAGAGCGTTGGCAGAACATTTATGTGGAGATAACTGCCATGCTAAGCAATACCAGTTCTGTGAAGGCCAAGCTGCTGATAAAGCTCTCAGAGAGCTGGCTTGATGCCTACACTACTGAACCCCAGGGGCTATAAGGCACCACTCTCGAGCACCACTGACATCAAAAGCAGGCACTCTTCCAGTGGTGAGCATGTTAGCCATCGCATGCACTACAATAGGGTAATCACTGCCACCAAAACGCTAAAGCTGCGGTTCTCAACCTGTGGGTCACCACCCCCACAGGACTCACATCAAACATTTATAATACAACTCATAACAATAGCAAAATTAGTTATGAAGTAGCAACAAAATAATTTTCTGGTTTGGGGATCACCGCAACATGAAGAACTGTATTACAGGGTTGCAGCATTAAGAAGGTTGAGAACCACTGCTCTAAAAGAAAGAATGTATAGTCAACACTAAAAGGGATTAAAAGTTAAAAAAAAAAAAAAAAAAAAGTCTGGCTGGGGTTTTCCATCAACAAATCAATCTCCTAAGCCCTTGATGACAGGTAAATATACTGTTTCCACATGTTTATAAACATTGTGTGTATACAGAATTAAAAGTAAAGTTTTGTTTTGTTTTTCTCTGGCTGTCCTGGAACTTATTTTGTAAACCAGGCTGGCCTCAAACTCATGTAGATCCACCTGCATCTTCTGGGATTAAAGGCACGAACCACCACACGCAGCTTTTTAAAAACATTTATTTATTTATTTATTTATTTATTTATTTATTTGAAGACAAAAGTTTCTTTCTGTATGTGTAGCCTGGGCTGTCCTGGAACTTGCTCTGCAGACCAGGCTGACCTTAAAGTCACAGAGATCCGCCTGCCTCTGACTCCCAAGTGCTGGGATTAAAGGCGTGTGCTACCGCTGCCCAACTTAATTTAAATTTAAAAAATGTTATATGTATGGGTGTCTTGCCTGCATGTATGTCTGTGAACCATATACATGTCTGGTGCCCACAGAGGCCAGAAAAGGGCATCAGATCCTGGAATTTAGTTACAAATGGTTGTGAGCTACTGTGTAGGCGCTGGAAATCGAAGCTGTCCTCTGGAAGAGCAGCCAGTGTTAATCTCTGAGCCATCTCTACAATCCCTAAACAAAGTTATAATGAACCGGAAAATTCACCTTCCCTTCTTGCCTTCCTTATTGGGTTCTCAGAGATTTGGCACCTTGCAAGACTGCTACTCTGCATTTGTGTAAGACAGCACATCTAAGAAAAACAAATAAGAGGTTGGAGGGGGCTGCACAGGCATCTCCAACAACCATGACCAAGTAGAGTTTATTCCAATACCTGAGACTAGAGAAGCAACACACCACTCAAACTGGTCTCTGCCAACTGTTTTCTTTTTTTTTTCACAATGTAGTAGACTTCGTCACCACCCCACCCTATAAAATGAATGCGCCAAGGCCACTGCAGCACAACATCCTGAAGAGTAGAAGGCCACAGCAAGTTCATTCCAAAGCCAATCCTCTCAGGTGACTACAGACTGCGGTCTGAATGAAGGATGTGAAATGAAACAGAAGATGGCACCAACAGCAATGACCTCAATTGAGTCTTACTATGTCCTAAAGCTCACATGGGATCAGATCACAGCTAGTATTAGTTTCTGCTACCATGCCTTGCTTCAAAATTCTCCTCAAACTAATTATCCCTATTCCTTGTTCTAAATTTGCCGTCATCCATTTGCCCACCTATCCCGAATAGGGTCTCCTGGAGCAGTGTCCCCATGTGCCCTTTTCTCCTCAGTATCCTCAGCATCTAGCACAGTGCCTAGCACAAAGCAGGTGGTGCTCAGGAGCTACATGCTAAGCAATGAGGGTGAATACACGGGGGCAACACATGAGGACCTAGAAATGTGTTCAGGGAAGCTCAGACAGCATGCAGCAGAGTACTCTACACCTATCAGTTTACCTGCCCTTGCCACAGCCATGCCTTCATGTGAACAAGAGAGCAGCACACACATTTGACACCAGGCCATGGTAGCAGGCACTGGGAAATGGCAGGCAGTCCTGATGCTGCTGTTCACGAGGGCTATGCTATCTAAGGACCTGAAGGTAAGGAGGTCTTGTCTCCAGACCCTCAGTCAGCCTTCACTCAACTAAAGTGCTCCAAGACACACTCATAAAATCCCCAAGAGACACCAACCTTGAAACAATTCAGAAGGCAAGAAATGGAAATGGCTCATATGTAGAAGGCTATTATCAATATGGATTTGGGAAAATAATACTGCCTACATTTCAGTTGAGTCACAAATCACAAGAGCCCAGGTATAATGGCTCACTCCTGAAATCTTAGCAATTAGCAAGTTAAAGCTGTAGGATCATTTAAGAGTTTGAGTGAGACGTCATCTCAAAAACCCCAAAACAGAAAAGATTTGTTTATTTCATAAAAAGTTATTTGAGTTATATACAAAATCTATGGGGACTTCTGAGAGCTGTGTGTTGCTTTATGGATTGACTCACATGAAGCATCCTGTAGGAGCAGAAACCAGGGAAACTCTGTATCTTTATTGACTGTGGGACAGTGTGATACTGGTAACAAAGGTGGTTTACATGGAGGCGGAGCTGATCCACACTTCCACTTGAGATTACTGGGACAAGGTGCCTGAGCTGACAAATGCTGGGCAGTACTGCGAGTAGTCACACTATAAGACTTCATTCTTGTCCACACACACAGACTAAGGAGGAGGGTGGGTTCCAACATGGCCCTGTGTCACAAAGCCTTGCCTCTAAGATGTCATAATCAGCTTTTATTATCTTTCAAAGTGTTTGGAGCCCAGAAAGAAGAAATGTTTTAGAACCTTGGGCAGACAGGTACCACACCAACAAATAATTCTAAAAGACCTTTAATTATGGATACTCTAGTTTGAGTTTAATATAATTCTGATAGTATAAGTGCTAGTTTTCTTTTGAAAATTTCCCCTCAACTGTTAAAAGTATAAAAACAGTGTTACCTCAGCGGCAGTACTAGAACAGGTGGGCCTTAGTGTCTTACAGACCCCAGCCAAGCCCACAACTCTGCTACTCCCTGTAAGATGGGGTATAGCCTTGCTCTGGCTAACTCAGCATCAGCAAAGTACACATAAATGCTTGCAATGCACCCTTCTGTGGAAACCACTGTTTGCACATAGGTGTCTGCACCTGTGCCTAGTAGTAATCCTCACAATGAGCACTGGAGTGTTTCCTCCTGGGGAGGCAGGGTAAGCAAGCTTGTGACAGGATGGGGAAGTGGAGAAGACCAACCCTGGAGCCCAAGGCTCACCCCTGCTCTCTATGCCGGTTAAGGGCTCCATCTGTGAATGGAGACTGATGAAGTACAGGAGGGCTGGCAGATAGTCTAGAACCACAGGAAACACTAAACATAGCAGGTGCTGATACCTGACATCACAGAGCACCCCACAAGTAAAGCTCCACAACAGCTTCAAATTCCACAAGGAGAACACCCTTTTCTGGAGTTATGTTAGCTACAAACTCTCTGCAGAATGTTTGCTCACTCTCTGCAGGTTTACATCTCCATCTCAAATCACAGAGGAGTAACAATGTCCACTGAAGGTATTTGTCACTCAACCCCAAGGAAAAGTACAAATTTCCCTCTATTTACACTTGTAAAACTTAATCTTCTGGAATAAATATACACATGTTGTGCAGGAACAACACAAAGCAGACAAGAACCCTGACACTAAATGTAATATTAAAATATTATCAAATATGGAGAAAACAGTAATCATTCCTATTGTTGGTATTTCCCTAATTATCTCTGCTGAATGACTGTTAAAGATCACGGTCTTTCCTTTTTAATGCCTCACTCATAAATTAAGTTACTGTACATGCACCATATGATAATCTCACAGCAGTAACACAAATGTGAAAATAAATATTACCGTCCCCACTAATTTCATCTGCAGATCCAGGTGGCATGCAAAGAAAGGAGAAGTAGGGAACACAGGGAGGAGAGACGGGAAGGAAGGAGAGAAGAGAAGGAAACACACTATTAAAATGACAAGCAAATCAAAGCTTAAGAAAATAACATCACCCCAAGGTTCATTCACAGGGTAACAAAAATTGTACTAGTACGTTTACTGTAATTGAAGCCCATTAAGTCAAATTTTAAGCTGCCAATGGATTGCATACAGTTACACAGTACTTTCTACCACACTAGATCAAAATAATCTGCTTGCCTTTCATTGTTAAATAGGCTTCTACTTTCCTTAAGGGTCATTTGTATCTTCTAGAAACAAGTGATAAGAAGAAACTCATCATTACCACGTAAGTGAAAGGGTCACCAGGAGATAAGCCTGTGACTCATATTTCACTGAGGTGGTGGATTTAAACCCCATGACAGACGTAGGCCATGCCCACACTACCATGAAGGGCAAGTGTAGTTCTCAAGGCTCCAATAACAATTCAGCCTCCCATTTGAATTCATACAAAATTACTAATTTTCAGACATTTTTGAAAAAATACTGTTTTAATAATTACAACAAAATTACTGCTTTACTAGAAACTCTCGAAATGGCACAGCTGTCTCATCTATGCATTCCTGAACATCTGCCTCCCACAATACAGAATGCAGATACTCAGCGCTCATATGGACCACGTCCCACATGCTCTATTAGCAAATTACTAAGGCCAGAACAGGTCTTCACACCCCTGTAGGAAAACAAGACAACAGAAATGCCACCAGGAAGCTACTTCTTGCCTTATCATGCATATAAAAGCCAGCAAATGGGGAGCAGATTATTTAAAGACAGTGGCCCAAATTGTGTCAATTATGAGACACAAAATCTGTCCCCCAAGTTATCACTTCTGGACAGTGAACAGCACACTGATATTCAGTATGGCTATGAACTGCTTGGGACAATCTAGAAGCATCTAGCTAAAGCTAGCTTTTGTGGGGTGCCTTGATTGACAGAAAAGCCTGTGCGAGTGCAGTACCGGTTGGAGGAGGTTCAAGGGAACAGAAGACCAAAGGGAGAAAGCGCCTAGCTTTCTTAACTTTATGTTGGCAGTGATTGACTCCTTTACAAAGAGGCAAGAAAAGAAAGAGAAAAACAGAAACAAATTATTCCAATACAAAAAAAACCAACCAGTTAATTTTAAAGCTACATGTATAAGAACAAATACAAAATTGAAATTAAGATCATTGGTAAACCTTATTTCTTACTAGATTGATCTGTAGCTTAAAAGACATTATTTGTTTTTACTAAAGATTAACACTAAATACAGAAAAACAAACAATAAACAGCTAAGAGCTCTTCCAGGCCAGTCAAGTAACAAATAACACAACTACAACAAAAAGAAGAAGAAAAAAAAAAAAAACAAACAAACAAGCAAACAAAAAACCCAACAGTAACAAAAAACAGAGACTAATAACTTAAGGATCAAGAACAGTCTATATGTTTATGAACATTTAACATCTATCCATAAAGAAAGAAATCTTAGAAAACTGTAAGAGCTTTATGAGCAATTACAGTACTCGTGATCTGAAGGATCTTAACATAAACTGGTGGTGAGGACATCCAATTACAGAAGCTGCAAGCTGCCATCATATATGCATTTGTTTGCCATTCCAAGTGCTTAAAACTTACTCAAGGGACTCACCCTCTATGTAAAGCAGTGAGGACACAGAGTAGCTACAGTATAGCAGTAGAGCACACACATCAGACATAGTGTGACACTGTACAGAGGCACAGGGTGCCATTGGCAACAATCTTGACTGGATGTGGCGGCCCATGGAGAATGAAGGTCAAGATGGTCTGGTCATCAAGAAAACAATAATCTCAGTACTCAACATAAAGAAGAAAGGAGAAGAACTGAAATGTACAAAGGAGGGGCATTTTCCAAGCGGCTTGGTGGAATCTCAGTCACTGACTACTTCCTCTTAGTGCTTGGTCTGAAAAGACACTCTCAGTTTCGGGACTTCCCAAGTGATGGATCTGGCCAGACAACAAGATGCTTCATTTCATGCTGGATGGATATGGACTGAGGTGGGAGGAGGGAGGCTCAGGATCCAATAGCTATGCATGCAGGACATTACTGCAATGAAATAGTATGGGCTGTACATGACAACATCCGTCAATACTAACTGCCTAGTTTTAAGAATTACGCTCTGACTATGTAAGATGATGTCTGAAGCCAGGTACAGAGGTGAATGCTTATAATCCATAGCTTTGGAGATGAGGCACTGGAGGCAGAAGGAACAGGACTTGGAAGGCTTGTCTAGGTTTATAGGACACCAAGTAAAAAAAGCACAACAAACAAATAAAACAAAAACATCAAAAATATACAAAAAAAACTAGATTTAAGTTAAAAAAAAAAAAAAACAAAACTAAGTTTTCAACTCACAATTCTTAGAACCTTTCTTTAAGAACGTATAGCGAAAAAATAAAAACATGAGAAGCCTGGTAGTCTGAATTCAGACATAAGCTCCACTACTCTCCCACTGACAATTTATACTTCTTGGAGAAAAGCCAAAGCTCCCTCCAGAGAAGAGCTGAGGGAAGAGCCACTGGACAGACAGCAATGCCCACTACCCACGTCTAGCTGTTATTTCTCTCTTGCTTTGATTATTTCTAAACTTGACTTAAAACAAGTAGTTTTTAAAATGTGTTTCTGTAGTAATACTGAGACTAACCTGCTTCATAAAAACACAGGGTTATTAGGCTTCTTAATTTACATGCTTTGAACATTTACCTTGAGTTAGGTATACTGTATATGTGATAGTGTTAAGCAAAATAGAGATGTGGACTTGGGTCTTTATACAGGAAAAAGCACTATGAGGACAAACTCAGCAGAAGGGATATGGGGGCATGTTCATGTAGATCTGAAACTTTCAATAGAGCAATCATTTGCAAAGACATCAAGAGTATAGGAGGTGGGCATGCCCACAGCAGCAAGGACAAGCAGGTTACAGAGTAGATATTCAGGTCACATCTCTGCAGAGGCCAAGAGGACATTGGCAAGGAGCAACAAAGAGTCAGAACAAGTTGACAGATTTTTAGGATGTGTGAGATGGGAGTTATAAGCACCAGAGAGTATAGATCTAACAGCTAATGCTCAGGCTCTGTCATTTATTCTTACTGACAAAAAGGAGGTAAGAAATGGAGGTAAGGACTGTATCACAGCTATCTCACTTCCTGGGAGCAGCCAGAACATCAACAATCAAGGAGGATGAGGTGGTAAACAGGGCTAGTATAGGAGGTGGAGACAATCAGGATAAGCAATGCACAGAACTGAAATGAGAGGCAGAGAAGCAGGAGGGGGAGAGAAACCACTCAGGGAATTGTGGAGGCTCAGGCACCGCTCTGCTCAGACACCAGGATTCAACTCCAACATGCTAGGCATGAGGTGCTTGTTGAACTTCCAAGAGGAGGTGGTAAGCAGGCAGGTTACAAACTGAATTTGCACTTAATAGGATGGTAGAGGGACTGGTGGTGGTGCACACCTTTAATGCCAGCACTTGAAAGGCAGAGGTAGGAGGATCTCTGTGAGTTCAAGGCCAGCCTGGTTTACAAAGTGAGTTCCAGGCAGCCAAAGCTGTCACAGGGAAACCCTGTCTCACAAAAACAAAACAAAAGACCCAAAACAACAAACCCGCTCCCCACCTGCAAACCCTAAAATGAGACAGGGGAAAGAGGGAGAGATACAGAGAGGACAGTAGAGAGGCACAAGCTTAACTAAGCCATAAAAAGACACAGATCCCGCAAGAATGGTCACTCAAAGACTCAGCGCTGGGTCCTTGGCATAAAGAGTGGCCAGCGAGGAAGGCATCTAGCAGCCAAGACGCACTAAAGAGGAGTTTGGGTGGATGTCATACTGTCCTAGTTTCATTTCTGCCACTGTGATAAAATGGCCCCAGGAAAGGCAACTTAGGGTAAGAGGTTTATTTTATCTCACAATTACAGACCATCACTGCAGGAAGTCAAGGCAGGAACTACTCGGGCAATACTCATATCCACAGTCAAGACCAAAAATGAATGTGTGCATGCTCAGACTGCTTAGCTCCCTTTCTCTATTTCTGTCCAATTCAAGACTCAAATCTAGGAAATGTTGCTGCCCACAACGGGCATGCCTCCTTACTTCAATGAACATAATTCAGGCAGTTTTCTACAGGCAGAAATGCCACAGGCCAACCTGAGATAAATAACCCTTCTTTAAGACTTGCTTTCAGGTGATTCTACATAGTGTGAGGTGGACAACTAAAACTAACCAGCACAGCCAGGGTGTGGTGGTGCATGCTTTTAATCCCAGCATTCTGGAGTCAGAATCAGGAGTTTATCTGTGAGCTCCAGGACAGCCAGAGCTACATAGTAAGACAGTCTCTAAAAGCAAACAACAAATCAAACTGGCACATGTATTAAAAGCCGTTTTCCCATCTCTCAAGTAGGTAAAGGAAGGATTGGCAATAAAATTTACACACTGCCCCTTTGTGGCCAAGGTATGCATGTCAACAGCTTCCAATACTAGGTGAGTCATTCATAGAGAGCATTACAGAGGATATGTTTGAAACTGGCTAGGCCCCAACCCACCGATCAATTTTCATTTATTGACTTATTTTTGGTGACAGGATCTCATATGTGCCACTGATGATGGTAACTTACTATGTAGTAAGATGAACATGTGCACAAACAAGCCAGCAGACAGCATCCTACGTGGTTTCTGCTTGAGCTCCTGCCCTAGCATCCCTCGGTGATTTTAGTCAGTGTTTTATCATAGTAATAGAATTAAAATTAGAGCGTTACAAACAACAGGGGGGACTGGCTCACAGACAGAGAGGCAGGGAAGAAACTGAACATAGGCATCTAGTTTCATTCTGGTATGGATACAACTAAGCAGAAACACAGGCAATATGGGATTTACATACATTGGGTGGCTGATAACATTTTTATATTTAGAGGGG